TATATATATATATATTGTTCTTCAGAGAGAACATCACCATCAGAAAGCCCTTAAAATAATTGTAAATTATGTCCAAATCCACTTTTTTTAATCTTTAAGAAGTATTATGCTCTCGTCTTTCAGAACTTTTCTTATTTACTCCATAAAATCTTTTGAAGAGAGCTTTCTTGTCTATAGAGGAAACTGAAGCGGAGAACATTTTCCTCTTTTTTTTCAGATACCAAAAGGACGGCCCTCCCACGGTGCGACTCACTTGGACACCCTCAGCCCGCTGCATTTTTATGAATGAGTTAATTTGAAGGAGTGGACGAACGGTCACGGTTGGGAGAGGTAGGACCCAAGAATGCAGACGGAGATGAGAAGCTCGAGTGAAAAGCACTAAAACTTTCATCTACAAAAAACAACAGCTTAGAAAAACAGCTTGAGGAGACAGCGAGACGAACCTGGACATGGAGTAAAAACATGCAATGCTAGACAGCAGATAGGGTGAAGAATGGAGAACTAAAAGGACTGGAGACACCTGCATAAAAATGACAACAGGGAACAGGTGTAAACTGGAGGCAGAGCCAGGGAGTGAAGGCTAACATCATTTGAAAAGYACTGGGMGCAGGGAACARCAAAGCACAAAGAACATAATAAWAAATTMATAAAACTACCAATTAAGCTTCTTTCCTCAGTTTGTTCAAAAGGTCTTCTGTTGTGATGTATGTAACAGGTCTCTCTTGTAAATAAGACAATAAATATCAAGAGATTCTCCTCTATAAATAAATGATAAATGAAAAAAACAGYTACTGTTGCAATCAGACTACAAAAGATGCAATACTTTTCAAAAAAAGACAGGAAATGAGACACCGGGTGCAAAGTGTGCCACAATAAAATCTAAGTCCTCTTCAGTGAAGAAGATGTATGACAGGGAAATTAATTACAAGTAATTATTTCTCCATTCAGAGGCCCTGTAATTTGTTCTTCTCTAGCGTGGAAAATAAAAGGTGGGGGTTCAGCATCTGACCCCTGTATATCAGCCTCTTGTTGAARCAACCCGAGTGTTTGGACTGAATCCAAATATCTTGAAATGAAACGGTGATTCAACTCGCGCCTCCATAAAAAAGCAGGGATTCTAAACTGCAGAGTCCTCCTTCAAATGAAAAGAGCRCAAAACAAAAGCAGATTCCCTAAATTCTCCAACAGACGGCAGCTCGGCTCCAAAAGCACGCAAGGCTTCAGCTATGATATTGGTCACTAATGAAGTCAGCTCATGGAGATTTGTTACTTGGAGCAAACAGACTCTGAGAAGGCACCCAAAGTCTCGCCATCAAAATATTCAGAGAGGACCATTTCCGAGGCTGTGTTCTCAGCTCCTTCCTAACGGGGTGGGGTGAATGGCCTCTCTRTGCAGCCTGCCAACTTTCTGCCAATGGCCGCTCTCTTTTACAAGTGAATGGACTGAGTTTAGCCACGGTTAAAAGGACACACTAACGTGCCATGGCTACTCCAACAATGGCCGCTCGGGTGGCGTGCCAAACCTAACGATGGCGGTTTGGCCCCGGCGAGAGGAGGTAGAGAGGAGGAATCCTAAAGAGGCGCACAGCTGCACTCATCAGCTCGTCCCTCCTCCCTCTGTTGCCTTCATCACCAACTTWGTTCCTTGGAATAGAAAGAAGGACCCTACACAGCTCCCCACTTTGAAGGAACCGTCTCAGTCAGACAGAAATGATCAATAAATTCAATCTTTTGGTATGAGTGAATTCYAAGATCATAAATGTTAACAGCAAAGTAAAACAAAGAACAAAACACTTTTGTTTGTGCCACWAGGTGAAGAGGAAATGTTTAACAGTTAGGGACAATAAAATTATTGAAGGGTAAAAAAATTAAATTCTCAAACAAACTCATGTCTTTTGGGTTTTAAACCCCTGAAAACTAAAGATCTTGAGTAATCTGTTAGCACTCAGACTCAGTGTTGGAAAWGACTCTCAGCTACTAACATGACAGGTTTGACCTAAATATGTGTAAAACTGAGGTATAGCCAAGGTTGAATAACTGTGGCGGCCATCTTGAATCAGGTTTGACTTMAAAACRTAATCACCCAATGATTAYTTCCTGTGAGTTTCATTAATCTTCTATTAATCTCACGAGTGATGGTAGGATGGAGCGGGAGATGGAGCTAACAGATTGGGGCATCTTCCTCAGTAATGGGTGTTGTTTTAGTCAGTCATGATGAGGAAAGAGTTGAGTTTTGAGGCAAAGCTGTGGATTTACTGGTCTATTTACGTTCTAACCCTCACCTGTGGTYATGAGGAGTGGACCATGACTGAATAAATGAGAACCTGGACACAAGCGGCTGAAATGAGCTTCTTTAGTAGAGTGGCCGGGCTCAGACCTAGAGATAGGGTGAGGATCCGGATCATCCGGGAAGAGCTCAGAGTAGAGCTGCTRCTCCTCCACAYTGAAAKGAATCAGTTGAGGTGGTTCATCTGATTAAGATGCCTCCTGGACGCTTCCYTTTAGAGGTGTTCTGGGCTCTTCCCACTGGTAGRAGGCCCCAGGGAAGACCCAGAACTTGCTGGAGGGATTGTGTTTCCTCTCTGGCCTTGGAACACCTCAGGGTTCCCCAGGACGAGCTGGAAAGTGGAAAGTGTCGCTGGGGAGAGGAAAGTCTGGGTTCCTCTCCTGGAGCTGCTGCCTCCACAACCCAACTACTGATATTTGACAGAGGAAAGAGATGGAGTTTCATTAAAACCCCCACTGATATGACCTCTCTGTTTAACATAAACAATGAGGGATATCAAAAAAAGATCAGGATCAAATAAACTCTGAAAGGGTAAGTTTTATTAGTTTTAGTTAAATATTTAACTCATTTTGGATCGAGGTCTAGGGTTAAGCTTCAGAAAATCTAAATTAAAGCAGCTTTTTATTTAGTTCCAGTCAAATGAACGAATCCAACACTTATGAGACCACAATAATATATTTCTCTTTGGCAAGAACAACAACCTAGAGAATAAACACTGTGTGCACTTCTAAAGCCACACACAGCTCATGCACCTGTTAATTACATTACCAGGAGCAGACGGCAAAACTGACCCACATTTTTCTAATTCTTAGACTAAGAGTGGGAAACAAAAACCCTTCAGGACCGTTTGAACTGAGACACAGTAACCTGTGAAAAAAAAAACAGCTCACATGATCAGGTCACATGATGACAACAGATTTAATACTGGGACAAATGAGCCAATCGAGAGGAGCAAGAGAAATGAAATACTGGAAGTGCAGGATTGTTCTCCTATGCATGTTTATTCCAGGAAAAAACAATATACAAAGAAAAAAATAAATAAATCAAGGGGTTGCGGTGCTACAGATTTTGCAACTTGTAAAGTAAAATTTACCAGTATGAAAACACACCCAAGGTATWACAAATAATAAGCCTGCTTTCAGTAGTTACTAATTAAATGTCAATAACTAATCTATGACTGTGTAACAATAATATTGCTGATCTGGAAAATGATCTTATTCTATGTTTTATTTCAATCACCAAAACAGAAAATGGTGATTTTGATTGCCAGATAATGAAAACTGTTCAAAGAATCCTTTATTTCACAAATACGTCATATCAACAAGAAACAGTCTTTTCATTTTAGGGTGACAAAGGGATTTTATTATTATTCCATRTTTTCTGGTGAAGAAATGTCCCAGCTATCAAGAAACCTGCAACACGTGGCTGTTGCCAGATCCACTTCTTTGTCTCTCAATCACCCCAAGAATAGGCGAAAATAAACATCCACACACCTCACCTGTGGTGTTAATAAACAGTTAACCACTCAAGATGTTTTCTGTTAGTGAGAGAGAATTGCAGGGTAAGGATGAGGGTGAATGAGGAGGAAGATGAGGTGAAGGGTCAGATTCTGGGTCACAATATAAGTCGTCAGAAAGAAATCAGACAAACTGGCAGAAGAGAAGTTAGACACAAAAGCAGAACGGACCCCACAAACCACTGACAAAGCGAACCCCTGCACAGACCACGTGCATACATCCATACTGAATATCAAATAACAACAACAAATAATCACTTACTTGCTCATCATCACCGCCGAGCAACGTCAGTGTTAAAGCGAGCGGCACAGATCCAGATGCTTCACATGGTGGGAGAGGAAGAGAGAGGCATGAAAACCATGAGAGGAAAAACTTGCTGCACATCGACACACATTGTAGCTGAGCAGAGAGTGAGCAGGGAGGTGGAGGGAGGTGTGTGTGTGTGTGTGTGTGTGTGTGTGTGTGTGTGTGTGTGTGTGTGTGTGTGTGTGTG